CTGGTTTAATCCCCATCATTATAGGGTGGTTGTGTACACACACTGCCAGCACACACTTCAGTTCAAACAACTTGTAAAAGTACATGTAGTATCCTATGACCCCTTTAATAAGACTTAATAAGTGACTTTTGTTATACCATTTAAGATATTTAAGACTTTTTATGCCCTTGAATTTAATCAAACTAAATGTAAGACATTTTACAGACCCTAAACACCACAGGAACGCCATTTTTCCACCACTTTTTGTCGCACATTCCCCCAAACATCTACCTGATTGGCAACTACTGCGTCCTGTGGATCATCTGGTTCAGCGGCGGCCAGAAGAGCCTGTAGAGACAGTAAGACTGTTCGGAGGGTCATCGCCGCCGCCCTGAAACACATACAGCTTCAGCTCCAGCGCAGTTCACTTCTCTACTGTGCGCTCAGTGAGATCTTACCACTGGTCCTTCAGGATGTCCAAACAAATGGCACCTGTTACTGAGCTGATGTTGGGATGCCAGATCTTCGTTATAAACCGAACCTGGAAAACGACAAGTGCCAGAATTAATCTGTGAGTGAAAGTTAAAAGAGACACGTTAGTCAATAGCAGAGGTGAATCTCACGATTTCAATTCAGAGAGTCACAATGTGAGTACAAAATGATTCTTGATTCACCAACAATTTTGCCGAGTTTTTGCCGTATTTGGTTTTTAAAAATTGTGATTCCTGCACAAACACATTCATGTCACCTAAAGCAGTTATTATAGTTAACTAAAACTATAACCATAAAACATATATATTTATTTTGTTTTTTTGTTACTTAAAATAAAATAAACATTAACAGAAATAAAATATGTATTTTATTTTCAGCTAGTTGCCAAGGCAACATTTCTCATTGTCATTTAGTTTAACTTGATGTACTAAAACAAATAAAATTCACTAAAATAATTAAAACTAAAATTAATAAATATTTTTAAAACTATATAGACATATTTAAAAAAATTAAAAATAAATTAATAAAATGTACAAACACACAACAAAAAAAAAAAACTAAGGCAATATTTCTAATTTTAGTTTAATTTAACTTGATGTACTAAAATAACTAAAACTAAAATTAATACATATTTTTTAAACTATATAGACATATTAAAAAAATAATACAATTGACAAACACACACAACAACAACAACAAAACAAGGCAATATTTCTCATTTTAGTTTAGTTTAACTTGATGTACTAAAATAACTAAAACTAAATAAACTAAAATAAAAATAATAAAAAAATAAAAAAACTATAGACATATTTAAAAAAAAATAATAAAATTGACAAAAACACACCAACAACAAAAAAACAAGGCAATATTTCTCATTTTAGTTTAGTTTAACTTGACGTACTAAAATAACTAAATAACTAAAATTAATAAAAATATATAGAGATGTTTAAAAAAACGAATAAAAATGACAAAAACACGACAATTTCTAAAACTAACTAAAATGAAAGTGAAAACAGAAAATATAAAAATAAAATATCATTCAAAATATTAACATATGAATGATACTAAAATAGCACTGGCCTAAAGTGTAATATGCATAATATATAAAGTGTTTTCTTTGAAATGTTGTGAAATAAAGCTTGTTCAGCCTTTTTGTCTTCGCTCCTGCATGCATTTGTTTGTACAGACACACAGCACTAGTCAACAGTACTCTAATATCACAAAGCATGTAAACACGGCCTCACATGTTTCTAAGCAAGAGTCTGTAACAGCAAACCCAGTTTAACTAGATTAGCCAGTATTTTGAGCAGCAGATCATCCTCATCATCGTCTCGTTACTCACCTTTGGCGGATTAAATGGATATGTCTCTGGAATTTTTATTTCTAGTTGATATCTGCCACCTGCAAAACAAGAAAGGACAGAAAGTCATGCAAAAGTAGAAAAAGAAAAGCATTTTTTCAGTGCATATTCTCATTTCTGACTATTGGCAAGTGTGGCATAACATTTGGACGTGTTGCAGATGGTCTGAAAATTAAATCTTCAAAAAGCATGTATTAAACACTGCAGTGCAGATATCGTTGACAGTGTTCAGAAACACACAGTCAACAGTTCAGAACAACATCTTTTCTCTCACCTTCATAAGGCGTGTCTGGCGGTCCGGCGATCTCCCCCTTCAGTTCTGTGAAATTCTCATCCACTAAATCCACCTTGATTTGGTTTTTACTCGTCTGTGAAAATAAAATGTCAGGACAATTACTCAACAAGAGACACGGTTTCCAAATGTAAACCCATTCCACAGAATTCAGCCAAACTGAGAGCAGAAAATGCCTAGAAAGTCTTCCCAGATAGCACACATACGTCTGCAAGATGTCTGTTAAAGGTCACTTGATCTGGAAAGCATCTGCTGTGTACAAACCTCTAACAGACGTCTGTAAGATGTCAATTTTACATACATTCTAAATCATAAACATCTTAAAGACATCTAATAGACATCTATTTGACATCTGATAGAAAACGTCTTATAGACGTATTGCAGATGAGCAAACACTGTAAAAAATACGTCTTCCAGATGTAAATGCAGACATCAGACAGACGTCTCCGAGATGTATGTGTGCTATCAGGGTGGATTGGGTTTCCACCCTGATAGCACACGCACATCACGGAGACGTCTATTTGACGTCTGCAAGACGTATTTTTAGATCTGCAATACAGCTACTGGACGTTTCCTATCAGATGTCAAACAGACGTTTATAAGATGTCTTTAAGATGTTTATGATTTAGATTGAATGTAAAACTGACATCTTAAAGACGTCTGTCAGATGTTTGTACACAGCAGATGCTTTCCAGATGAAGCGATCTTTAACAGACATCTTGCAGATGTACGTGTGCTATCTGGTCAAGGTTGGGAAACCCAAAATTCAAAGTTAAAGTTTGAAAAAATGGAAAAAACCTGACCAAATTAAAGGCAAAACCACAAACTTTGTACCTGAACCCACAATTCAAACCCAATAAATCCAAAACCCCAAAGCTAAAACTACCAACTGTACCCAGATGGCACAGGTACATCTGCAATATGTCTGTTAAAGATGTTTAAGATGTGTTAAGATCTGTTTAAGATGTCAGTTTTACATTCAATCTAAATCATAAACATTTTAAAGACATCTTCTAAACATCTATTTGACATCTGATAGGAAACGTCCTATAGACGTATTGCAGATGAGCAAACACTAAAAAATACGTCTTGCAGACGTCAAATAGACGTTTAGAAGATGTCTTTAAGATGTTTATGATTTAGATTGAATGTAAAACTGATGTTTACGCACAGCAGATGCTTTCCAGATGAAGCGATCTTTAACAGACCTCTTATCTATTTACATTATACCACATAGTAGTTTTTTAAAAACAATATTATGTGATGGTTTTGGTACCATGGTAATACTATGGTATTTTTGACACTTTATTTGTGGGCAAAGTCACACTGACAGCTTACTACAGTATGTTATACCCAGTTGTACACCTATAATTTAAGTTTAATTAGTATTTAATGAAGGATCGGAGATTATGCTAAATTCAGTTAATCTGTGCTGAAATTTTAATGTTAAAAGTTTCACACAACACTCAACACACACAGTAGTGCATTATCACACGCATTCTTCACAGTACAAACATTAATCAGGTGATTTTAATGAAAATGCGTGTTACAATCATAATAATTCTTAATTATATCATGCTACACGATGCTATCAGACCACAACCTCGATAAAACTACAATAAAAGTTAAGAAACCCGTCAACCTACATATATTAACCCAAATATTAACCGTCGAGAGTCTGAAAATATTATTTAAATGCCAAAAGTGATGTTTTAAGAGTAAATGTGTGTGAAGCACTGGCCTTCAGTTAACGTTAGCACGCGGCTAATCACACTCACACACACAGGCCTTTATTAAAAACACCACAAACACACAGGAATACACAGCAAATCACTGTATCAGCACAATAAGCACTCTGTAATCGATTAAATAAGCACGTTTGAAGCTCAGCGCTGTGATGTGATTCTGTTCGGCGGGTTTGGACTCGCTTAGCAATGCGGTTCGGCCTGGACGGGACAAACATCCCATAATATTCCCCCAAACCGCCCATCTGACAAATCAAGCACACATTAAACTGCATTATCCTAATGCACGAGCCGAATCTCAGCCGCATGTGTGTGTGCTTCACAGCTGATCTGTCCGTGATTTGAATGCATTAAATGCACATGCGTGAGTCATAAAGCATGATTGATTGACAGCTGTCATGGGAAACGCACGCGTGTGTGTCGGTGTTAAACGCACCTCTTCGCTTTTCAGGACCTCTTTAAACTCCCGTTTGATCCGCTGGACCGCGATGTTGGCCATGCTGTTCATACACACACACTCACACACACACACACACACACACACTCACTCACTCACGCACGCACGCACGCACGCACACTCACACATACGGGTTTTTATGAATTACCAGGACACTGCTGCCCAAACCAGTCTGTTGGTGTATTAGGGGGACACCGCTTTCCACTTGCTGTACAGAGATGTAGTGGATATCAAAAAAATTATTTTGACCCATACAACACAGATTTCACTTTAAAGTTTGTTTACACAAAACACAACTTATAATGTAACAACCTGAAAATATACACAATTATGAGGACAATTAATGATTTGATACACAAGCCCCGCCGCCTATGACACAAAACTGTATTATGAGGACTAATGTGATTTCTAAGGACATTGGCTATACAACACACAAACATGTCATGTGAGTGTATTAAAGGGACATACCTGATATAAGAGGACAACAATTTAACACAAACACAATAGTTAAGATATTGTGTATTAAAGGGACATACCTGATATAAGAGGACAACAATTTAACACAAACACAATAGTTAAGATATTGTGTATTAAAGGGACATACCTGTGAATTAAAAAACAAAATATAACAAACTGTAGTAGTGCTTGGTTTGCATTAATTGAATCAAACCTCAATGGAGATGCTGGCTGAGGTAGATGCTCATACCATCTGAGGTGCCTGGAGGTTTCTCAACAGGGTGCCTAGCCTTCTTCATTCCTGCGGTATGAATAGTATGGCTCAGTATAAAGGTTCTGATGGCACATGCTCAAACATTTCATAACAGAAAAAAAAACTTGTTAATCCTAAATTCAAAATCTTGTGTCATTTACACAACATAATAAATCAAGCAATCTAAACTGCCTTTTAAACATTTTCGCACTCAGTTTAGTTTCAAAATGTGTTAGTATATATATACTTAAAATGGGTTTGAAGTTGAAAACTTTTTATTCTTGTCAAACCTTGAGATGGGCCTCCAAAGGCAGAGTCAATATCTGCGAATAGAAAAATAAAATACGATAACAAACAGTAGTAGTGCTTGGTCTATATGAAGTGAATCAAGACCATGCTGCTTCAGTAACAGCTCTGAACTATTATAATGTTTTGGTGCATCGTATGGTACACTTCTTATGCTGACTTTACGGATTTGATGTTTGTATGTTTATGTGCTTTTACCTGTTTCTGTTTGTGTCTGTGGATGTATCTCCTCAGCATCACTGTCTTCACTTTGCTCAGATTCAGTAAAGTCTAACTCATCTAACAAAAAATAAACATTCAGAGTATCAAGTAAGTTTAACTTTGCAAATGTTAGAGTAAAAAAATAGAGGACATGGTGATCACTCTGAAGTTTGATGAATATTACATTGTTAAAGATTTAAGGTCTGAATGCTAGGGATTATCTTTAGGATATGAATACTTGAATCTTTACAGTAAACTTGAAAATGTCATTTGTAACAACTTAGTAGCATTACCTTCAATTTCAATCTCTTCTAGTGTTTTGCCCTGAAGATTTGTAAGTGACCGTTTCTCCATGGCAAGTAGTAGATATTTTGGCCAGCTGGGTTGTAGCCTCCGGAAGCCTGTAATATCGTGGCCCAAAAAGTCAGCAACTTGGTCCAAAACCATGGTTTGTGTATTAAAGGGACATACCTGATATAAGAGGACAACGATTTAACACAAACACAATAGTGAAGATATCGTGTATTAAAGGGACATACCTGATATAAGAGGACAACGATTTAACACAAACACAATAGTGAAGATATCGTGTATTAAAGGGACATACCTCAGAATTAACCATCATCTGTACCGCTGCATCAGTCTGACTGTAATTAAAAATCAATATGTTTTTGCCAATTAAAGATCATACAGTGCCCTCCATAAGTATTGGAACAGAAATGACAAAATTGCTTTGTCTGCTGTGGAGTCAAGACATCTGCAAATATGATTAAAAGATGAATATGAGACAAAACTACAGAATGTCACATTTTTATTGCTGTGATTGCATGCGAGGGATTCGCAACTAAATATTAGCTTTTAAACTTTTACATTGGCTTTAAGTTAATAAGTTAAGTAAAATACTCATGCTCACATCAGATTAGGGAATGAAACTCTAAAAGTGCTGTCCTTTTTATTTGGTAAAACATAAATGTGTTGAAACAGCTAATAATAAAATTTGTTGATATCTGAAAAGTTTGATTCTTGAACATTAATTTTGGACATCAAGGCAGTACATGGTGATGCCTTGAGTTTGCAATACAACTATCTAATGCAAAAATGACAGATAATACAAGTGAATTCATAGATTAACATTCTGGGCATGTGTGAATTCATTATAGCACACACAGTGTGTGTAATGTTCAGGTACTGATTCTGCATCATCTTACCAAAGTTAATTGAAATTAACTAACTGTTAATTGTGATTAGAGCCAAATCACAAATCGCATGTGAAAACTACCTGTTGATCATTACAAACACAGACTTCAGACACTTACCTTCTCTGTTCCATCCCCTGCTGCACAGCTGACCACAGCCATCGCTTGTCCTTCTGTCTCAGAACACACCTGTGTGGATTCACATTACAAACACAGACTTCAGACACTTACCTTCTCTGTTCCATCCCCTGCTGCACAGCTGACCACAGCAATCGCCTGTTCTTCTGTCTCAGAACACACCTGTGTGGATTCAAAATGAAGTACTAACACGTCTCCGCTAACTTCTCCACATGATTGAAAAACTATTTGAACAGTAAACTGTGTTCAAATGAGTATAAAAAGGTTATAACTTTTGAGGTACAATATGCACTTTCTGCAACATGCTTAATATTGCTCAGAAATTATTTAGAGCCAAATCACAAATCAGATGTGAAAATTTAGTTCCATCTGTAAATACCTTGCTTCTCTATGGCCAGTCAGAATCCCCAAAGTTATACGTAATCTCTTCCCCAGGACTTATGTCCTTTATTGCAAATAAGCACAGATGGGGCTTTCCGTCCACTCTGATTGTTTTCATTTTGCTGTTGGGGTTCACATGATCATCATTGACGAGTCTCCCTAAAGAGTCGTCTTCTCTGGCAGCATCAACACTGAAAGAGCAAGAACACAATGCTAACTCCAAGGTGTAATATTGACTGAATCACACAATAGGAAAGTCTCACTGAAAAATGTAAAAATGTTTCTGGATGGACTCATCCTACGTTACCACTACTGCATCAGAAAATAAAAATGTGTATCTCTGGGTGACCTACAACTTTGTAAATTTGAAAGAGATTGTAAATTAAGTACAGCAATATACATACCACAACTGTTTTCCATTAAAACGAAATTCAAACAAAAAAACTTCAACCGCAGTGTGGTATACTCTGTGCCTTCTTTCATATTCTTGTTTAGTTATGACTTCCCCTCGATATTCAATGAGAAAATCTCCCTTTTGGAAGTGGCGACAGCTGAACACTCCTCGACCTAACAAAGAGCACATCAGTCAGGAAAAAGGGGTCAAGTTAAAACAATACTTAAACATAGATACTCACTTGTGTTACTCACCTTTAAATGAATTTATGTATTTTATTTTACAGTATTTTTCCATGTGGCCTTTCATACACTAACCTCATTACCACATCCCAAAACATACATAATACAAGCTGTTTAGTTATTGCTATCTGTATTTGTCTGACTAGTAGGTAAAGCATGAATTATTGCTGTTAAATAATGACATCTTCAATTATAAATAGTTAATTCCTTATGATTTGTGAGGAAACTCTAGATAAAAGCTGACAAATGTTACCAAAGCTAGCCTGATTAACTGCAGAGGCTGACTTTATAACTAATGTAATATAAAATAAAAAGAGTTTCTCGACTTCTTTGAGTTGTATCATCAGTCTCACCTGAAGCGTCTTCATCCTGATGCTC